GAGCTATGAGCAGCCGGGTACTGCAGCCATTTGGATCAGAAGCCCAGTTGGTTGATGCAGAGTCCTCCCTTGGGCTGGGACCCCCATACCCCATCCCTATGCCCCCCCACCCCCACCAGGTTCAGGTTCTTCCCAAGATCTAGTTCTTGGGCTCCGCGAGTCACCTTGAATCCCGATCAGTTTCCCCTTTCTGCAAAGGCTAGCATGAGATGGTTTCTGTTGCCAAAGATCCTGAAATAGACACAGAATCTAGGCCCGGCCCATCTGCCAAGGTTACGATTAGCAGCGATAGTGCTGAGGCAGTTGAAAAACAAACTGCACGGCACCGTCTTTACTAGGTCACGAACATGTTGTGCAATCCTGACAGGTACAGTCATCTCAGCGAGAACAGGGGAGCAGTCAAGCAGCTGACTCAGGAGCAATACAAATTGTTCACCTAATTCAATTGTGCGCACATTCAACGGTGCAATTCAGGATAATAAACCGGCCAGACCAGACTCACATTTTCCGAGAATTTCTGACTGCTCTTGGGAGTGCGACTCAGAGCTTGCTGGTTCTAGAGAGTCACGTGTAAGGGACCCCAAAATTCTAGACGCTGCTCTGCAAATCATACAAAGCTGGAGAAATATGGGTACTATATCTTGATCCAAAAACTAACAAGCAAACCCCAGAACTGTCAGTAGAGCCTCACTGTTCTAGGGAACCGTCAATCCAGAAAGAATTCAGAAAACAGGCAGATGTCATTAGTTTCCTACATGCCTCTATTCAGTAAATATTGAGTGCTTGCCACGTGTCAAGTGCTGTGTTAGGGGCTGGGGATACAGCAATGAACAAAACACGCGAAGCCCCTGCCTTGAGCGCCTTATGTTCTAAGTGGAAGGAGAAAGAGGATCTGTAAATGAAGATGTGCGAGTGGTCACGTGCTGGAAAGAAACACCGAGGGGCAGGGGCATGTGACTGATGGGATGTGTGCTGTGTTATGTGCACGGCTCAGGCACAGTCTCTGCGACAAAGTGACATGTGAAGAGACTTCTAAGAAGGGAGGGGAGGGAGTGATGCAGCTCTCTGGGCCAAGAGCTTTCCGGGCAGCAGGAAGGACATATAAACACGCTAAGGTGGGAGTGAGTGAGGGACAGTGTGGTCAGAGCTATGTGAGCTCAGGAAAGAGTAGAGAGTTAGCTTGTAAGCCCCGGTAAAGATGGTGGCATTTCCCGAGGAGGGGAGTCGTCCAGATCATGAGAAACTACAGGAGTGCATGGTCTTGGTATTGAAAAGGATCACCCTGGTGGTGGTGAGAATAAACCGTGGGGCAGCCAGGGGAGGGGCAGGAAGAGCTATTAGGAGGCTGTTGGCATTGCCCAGCAGATACGAGGGTGGATTGATCACAGCACAGCAGTGGGGATGTGAAAAGTGGTCTGGATATTGCCATAGGATTCACTGATGGAGGGGATGTTGGTTCTCAGAGGAGTGGAAAATGACTCCAGGGCTCTGGCTTCCAGATGAAGATGCTTGTTATGGGGAGAGGAGTAATGTAGACTATTCCCAGCAGACACAGAAATTGAACGTGGACTCAGTCTAGTCTTTAGGAGTCTGAGAGCTGTTTACCCTGAATTGGTTTGGGCTACTGAGAAAGAACTGAAAATTGCAGCTAGAAGTTGGGTAGAGCTGATGAGCAGTAAGGTTAGAGCAGAAAACCATCTTCATGGTTTCTAGCCAGAAATCAAGATAGATTGGAGGAGGCCAGGCACGGTGACTCAGGTCTGTGATCCCAGCACTTTGGGAGGCTGAAGTGGGAGGATCACTTGAGGCCAGGAGCTCAAGACCAGCCTGAGCAACATAGTGAGACCTCGTCTCTGCAAAAAAAAAAAAAAAAAAAAATAGAAAGATTAGCTGGGTATGGTGGCATGTGCCCATAGTCCCAGCTACTCAGGAGGCTGCAGTAAGCTATGATGAGGCCACTGAACTCTAGCCTGGGCAATAAAGTGAGACCCTGTATCAAAAAACAAACAAAAAAAAAAATGGAATGAATACTGAAGGCAGAGTCAAGGTTAGAGTTCAGTGTTCTGGTCCAATGTGGGAGGCATAGGCAATAATTCAAACAGGACAAGGAAAATGATAACTTATTCTGTACCAGGCATCATGCTAAAAGGCTTTGTGTACGGCATCTCATTTAATTCTTACGACAATCCTACGAATTGGATATCATTAGCCCTAAACCAAGTGGCCGAATAACCTGTACGAGGCTGGTAAGCAGCAGAATGCAATTTTAAGCTTAGTTTGAACTTGACTCTGACGTGTGTGTGTGTGCGCGCGCGCGTGTGTGTGCATGCTCATTAAGCACTGTGCAATACTGCAAGGTCCAATGTCTCAGCAGGCAGCTGAGGTCACCTCAGTTCAAGTCAGGTAGGTGTGGGAGCGGTAAGTACAGGTGGAAGCAGAGTCCAAGTGTACAGACATGACTCCAAGTTTGTGGTTTAAGTTGGGCATGAAGAAATAGGATTGGATTGGAGTTTGAACCAGGAGACCAGGAGCAGCATCTCAGACCTGGCACCACCATCCCCAGTTACCCAACTGCAGCAGCGCTGAAACTTAGCCAAGGTGGTGCAGATGTAGCGTGGAAATGAAGCGCTCTGCTTAGCTAGGTTTGTAACTGCCATGACTGCACTATACCAAGGCATCCAAGATAAATATGCAACTCCAGTAGGATTTCACTGGTAGAGTTCTGCATGGTAACTGAGGCAGTTCTCTAAGGTAGATGATCAAACACCCCCCTCGCTTCTGTAAGATACTTGTTACCTACCAGAGTTCACAAAGATCCTTTTCTTTCATGGCTTATTTCAAGAGACTGCCCTAGGCCATAGGAGGAAAGAGCTTGGTGAGTTCAAACTGCTGTTTCAAAGGTAAACAACTCCCAGGTTCCAATACTTTTGCCTTTCTCTAGCCCTCAACTAGTAAGGGTGCACTGAACATACAGCTTCTCTCATTTGGCTCATAAGGCAGATTAATGTACCCAGTCCAATATAGGTATCATTGAAACATTAGTAAAATATACAAGCAGCATATCCTGGTTAATGGCTAATCATTGTGCTATTATGAGTTAGAATTCAAGATACTGTCCTGTTCAGAAGTTGTTCCAGGTAGACTATGTTGTCAGGCTCAACTAACATGCATCTTCTATTAATAGTTAATAAGGAATTCAAGCTCACTGAGATTAAGTAACACCCAAGGGACAGAGAGAGTGAGGCACTGATGAGACTGGGTCCAGAACTCTGCTTTCCCAATTCCCAGTTCAGTCCTTTCTTTTCAACTCAGAAGGTGCTAGACCTGAATGATGAGCAGTTCTCACACGAGCAGGCATATAGTAAAACTGCATTGGCTAACATTGCGTACACAACAAGACCTACTCAGGGGAGAGCCTCTGTTAGTTTTGAATTCAATAGTAGTAAGCAGGACCTGAAAAGTCTGAGATTAGGTGAGTGGTTCAGATGATCAGCCTACGTGATGATCAGCCCACTAATTAAATGTGCTCTCTATATAAAACACATCTGATAGGAAGCAGTACTTTCAAATAAAATGATTTTGTAAGGAGCAATATTTTGCAGTAGGATTTGAACCTAGAAGCAAAGGTGATATTATATGGCGGGTTTTATTCTGAAAACACTATTTGATTCATGATGCTCTACTTTTACTCCTTAGATATGGGCCCCAGTGCAAATTATATAATTTGTTCAGTCTTTATGATTTAAACTCCCTGTTCCCCAGCTATGGTGACTGGAGCAGTAGGAAATAAGAAACAAGGTAATCTCATCATTGACATGGCTACATAGGATCCCTAAGGTGTAGTCATGATTTTCTGTCATGCAGTTGTTTAGAATTAAAGAAATTCTGATTCCCACTGTACTTAAAGTAAACTGAGCATAGCAAGTCTGAACTAATTGAATGGAAAAGACTTGGTTTCTTTAGAAGGATGTGGATGAACAGGACTCTTGTACACTGCTGGCATGAGAGTGAATCAGTGTAACCACTTCTGGATAGCAATATGGCATCTCATTGATTTGAAGATATGCATTCTCTATGACTTAGCAATTCTACTTCGAGATATATGCCCTAAAGATATTTTTACACATGTTCACAGGAATCCTCACTGCAAAGATGTTTGCAGGAGCAAAATTTGAAAATGTCATTTTAAAAATGGATATGCCACCATAGCAATTAAAATGAAATTAAAGCTACATTTATCAACATAGTGTAGTTTCAGAGACATGTTAAGGGGAAAAATGCAAGTTGCAACAGATAAGAACAATATGCTCTGAGATTTTATTTTATTTTTTGAGATGGGTTCTTGCTCTGTTGCTCAGGCTGGAGTGCAGTGGTACACTGATAGCTCACTGCAACCTGGAACTCCTAGGCTCAAGCGATCCTCTCACCTCAGCTTCCTGAGTAGCTGGGACTACAGGCACATGCTACCATGTCTGGCTAATTTTTTATTTTTGTAGAGATGGAGTGTCACTGTGTTACTCAGGCTGATCTCAAAATCCTGGCCTTAAGTGATCCTCCCACTTCAACCCCCCAGAGTGCTACGATTACAGGCATGAGCCATTGAGCCCAGCTGAGATTTTAAAACATACAAAATAATGTTTACAAGATCATATATAGTAAAAGTATATCTAAAGGAAGTCCTTTGAGTTAAAATGAAAGGACACTAGAGAGCAACATGAAAGCATACAAATATAAAGCTCTCTAGTAAAGCTGACTAGGCAAATATAGAATCCTGTTAATACTATGATAGCGTAATCGCTTTTAAAGCAGGTGTAGAACTTAAAAGTATTAAAAACTTCACAACTACTAATGAACTGTTAATAAATACAAAATATCAAAGGATGTAATTCATAACATTGATAATATCTGCTGTCCCCAACCCTGGGCTGCGCGTCACTGCCTGAGCTCCCCCGCTGATCCCATGGAAAATTGTCTTCCTTGAAACTTAGGAACCAAGCCACATGGCAGGAGGTGAGCAGCGGGCAGGTGAGCAAAGCTTCATCTGTATTGACAGCCGCTCGTGTCACTGCCTGAGCTCCACACCCCCAACCCCCCAAGTCCATGGAAAAATTGTCTTCCATGATACCAGTCCCTGGTGCCAAAAAGGTTGGGGATCACTGATAATGCAAGGAGGAGATGTGAAGGAGTGGGGTTTTTGTGTGCCGTTGAAGAAAGGTTAGTTGCTGTCAGGTTAAAATAGATTATGTTTTATGTAATCTTTATAGTAACCACAAGAAAATACCTATAGAATATGGCCAAAAGAAAATGAGAAAGGAATCAAAGCACATCACACACTCTCAACACAAGTCAAAGGAAGGTAGCAAAAGAGGAAAAGTGGGACAAAATGACAAGAGACACAAACAATGAACAAGGCCAGGCGAGGTGGCTCACGCCTGTAATCCTAGCTCTCTGGGAGGCTGAGGAGGGCGGATTGCTCGAGGTCAGGAGTTCGAAACTAGCCTGAGCAAGAGCGAGACCCCATCTCTACTATAAATAGAAAAAAGTTAATTGGCTAAGAGCTCTGTCGTGACGTCACTGCGAAGAAAGTCAAGTTGATCCTCGAAAATACTTGGACGAAGATCGGGAAAAAGTATCTGGAGGATCCTGTTTTATACAATTATCCTACTGAGCCTTGCTGGCAAGTACCCAGTCATCACGAAAACAAATATTGTGATCTGGAGTGTCCATACTTGTAACTACAAAACGAGTCGTCATCATATTAGATCATTAGTTTTGGAGAGAAGTGAGGTAACCATTACTATGACCAAGCTTTACAGATTCTTTCCAATTGGAAAGACAAGTAAAGAAAAATCTGACAGAAAGGCAAGTCAGAAATGTGAAGAGAATTGGATTGGTTGAGCCAGAATAGCTCTAGAGGAAGCATCACAGCAGCTGGCTGAAAAGAAGGGAAAGAATCAGGATTGATTGCATCCTTTATCGCAGAACTATTCAACTTAGTTCACAACACGAGCCTACTGATGTTGTGATAATTAAATGACTTGAATGCTCGAAGGCACCAACTAGAATTGAAAGTTTGATATCAAAGTCAGTAAGTCGAGAAAAAGAGGAAAAAGGTATGGCAAATCATGGCTCAATTAGAAGCCTTGTACAGTCTTCTTGATAGCCAGTTTGTGAGTAGTGGGGAGGACTGTTCTCATAAGTCAGTTTTGTTGTGAGTAAGGAAGGATGAACAAATTGAGAAGGAAAACACTTACACCAGTTACTTGGCAAGTTCTTTAGCAAGAAAGAAGATACTGAAATGCTAGAAACTGAGCCAGTAGAGGATGGAAGCTTGGAGAGAGAGGAAATGAGGAAGGATTTCTAAACAACAGTGGGAGTTCCTCTTTAACAACACAGCTTGACCCATAGGCATCCCACAGTTCCACAGTCCAGTTGGCTCGCCACTTAAGTCCATACAGGCCACATTAACACTTCTGCCATGAATTTCCCTCAAATTCCTCATAAAACTACAGCAGCATTCTGAACATCTGAACTAAAACTCAGCAGACATTTTTTGTGTTCTTTATGAAATGTGTTTTGTCTTTTTTATTACTAGTGTTTAAAGTCATTTTTTTACTTGAATCAGATGTTGTCATTTAGTAAAATTTTAATTAGTTCTCGTTTTTAAATCCAGACTTTTTTTTCTACATGTGAGAGAGTTTCATTTTAACTGGCATGTGTTTGCACACAAAATAAAGAACAAATAATGAAATGCAGGAGGAGACAAAAGAAATGCACTAAGACAAGTAGAAACATTCTCTCATAGAACAATGATCTGTTTTACAGGAAACTAATCTTGCCTTGAAATTTACACAGTGAGACTGTACATATTGCATGAAAATATCTATTTTTTCCTAAACTTTTTCATTCATGATATTTTCAAGTTTTTCATACTGTACACATTTCTTAAAACACATGATACCAGCAACTGAAATGAATGCCGAATTGGTACAATGTGTTATCTACCTCAAGGTAACAAAAGTATGTGGCAAAACATATACCCACCCATAGTGCTCACAGTACGCACTTCTATTGCCAGCGTTTTGTAGTAAACTATTCTTAGACTCATTCACCATTATAATGTTCTGGTATGCATTCTTTATAGTGAAGTGTTAATACTCACATCTTATTTATTAGCAATCATATATTTTTGTATTTAAAAAGTAGTTTTAAAATTTATTTGCAAATACACTTTTCCATTTGGCACATGGTTTGTTGCTACCTAGCTGAATATATTGTCAGCTATACTAAGGCTTGCCACGTACTTAATTTACATACGTGTTCATTTTAAGTGCTCACTGTGTATCAGGAATTTGTATTTTGAGGTGCTGATCTATCTACAAAGAAAATTAGGAATTACTTTATTATAAAATCTCAGAAGTCTTAATTGTGTTTATTTTAAAAAACTGTTAGACTTGTGTGCATGGAAGTAATTAAGGTATCATTATTGTAGTTAAAAGTTGTACATGATAAGACATTTTGTTTTACTGTATGTTTTTACTGAATGATCTATTCCCCATCCCAAGGCAAGCATGAATAAAATTAGTAATGTAGCATGTGGCATCACAGTCTCTTAGAATTGTTTCATCTATTTTATTTTATTGATATGTCTGTATCTTTGGTTTATCCTGTTTGAAGAAAAAAATAAAATGGCCAGCAAATATGGCTCCCGTTCACATCTTGGGTAATGAAAGTTATCTGCTAGAAGGAAAGTGACTACCAGAATCTTAGTTCCACTTTTCAGCATCTTTGAATTTTGGCTATGTTTCCCCCACAAAATCTGCAAAAAATAATTTTAATAAAATAAGATTTAAGATTTTAAAATTATTCTGACTTAAGCCTTCATACATTAAATGGAATGTTTTAACACATTTCAAAATGTTACATAAATGTGAAGCTTTGAACTATGGAAGAAACCTTAAATATGTTTTTCTTTTTTTTTTTTTTTCACCTCCTCCCCTATTTGTTCTTATAATACACCTTTGTTTGCTCAAGAACTTGCCTATTCTATCTGAATATCAAACCATTCTTTACTTTTCTGTTCTTCATTCTTGTTTTATTACATCAATTCTATTAATAGTATCTGCCTTCTTCTTCCGGTGACTGATTCCATTGTTCATCTGGCATTAAATTTAGACAGATATTTCGGTAAATGTCATGTAATTTCTATTCAAGAGACAAACGATATAAGAATACATAGACATTATAGAGAATAATGGAGAGGAGAATTGGAAAAACAGGACACATAAGTCAGGATGGGCACAATGCAGAGCCTGAGTATTGCAAGAGTGTCAGAAGCAAAGAATATGATGCTTCTGCTAATCTATTCATTCTGAGATCATAATTAGCTTTGAATAAAAATGCTGTTGCACCTGAAGGAGCCTAGACATGTTGCTTCTGGAAACTTGCTCCTGGACTTAATCTACATTCATTACTGTCACTTTGACAGTTTTTTTGCTACATGCATAACGGTCTGACTGCAGTTGACTATGTTTTGACTTTTAAAAGCATCAAAGAAAGAAGATAGAATATAAGTACTGAAAACTCGATATAAAATATGCCTGCTTCAGGGGCCCAGGCTGGTATTAATGTTGTACAGTCAATTCAACAAATGCTGAGCGTACCATTATATTTTCCTTTTACAATCAAAATGTTTTATTTATAGGTATGACGATAATTTCTTTTAAGAAATCATTGTGTTTAGGGTTTTAAGAGATGACTGCGATTAGAATTAGAGTGACAACAGGCAATTGGCTCCATATCTTGGACATGACAATGCCAACACCAAAGTTGCAATCATGAATTGTGGTCGACAACTTCCTCTTCCCACATTTAAGACACAAAGACACATGTATATTATATTCATATAGTATAAGATCTCTAGAGCTCATTGTGATGAACTATTCTATTGAACACTCCCCTTTCCCCAGAGCCTGACAATTACATTCTATTTAGAGTTTATTTTAGGTATCTAATATTTAGAATCAGGCAGCATTTGTCTTTTAGACTGGCTAATTTCACTTAGCATAATGTCCTCAAGGTCATCTATGTTAAGCTATGACAGAATTTCCATTTAAGTTTGAATAAGATGTATGTATTACTGTATTTTCTTTATCCTTTAAGTCCTGGGCTCAACGTCCTGCCTCAGCCTCCCGAGTAGCTGGGCATACAGGTGCATGCCACTGTGCCGGACTAGTTCTATTTAGTAGAGACAGGTCTCGTCTTGCTCAGGCTGGTCGAACTCTTGAGCTCAAGCAGTCCTGCCTTGGATCCCAGAGTATTAGGATTACAGGCGTGACCACTGCGCCAGCCCCATTCATCTGTTGATGGATGTTTAGGTTGCTCAACCTCTTGGCTATGTGAATACTGTTGCAACAAACATGGCGTGTGAATATCTCTTCAAGATCCTGTTTTCAGTTATTTGGATCTATACCAGAATGGGATGTTGGATCATATGGTAGTTCTATTTTAATTTTTGAGGGACCACCATATTGTTCCCATAGCAGCTACATACAGCATTTGCATTCCCATCAACAGTGCACAAGAGTTCCAATTCTACAGTCTCCTGCCAACACTCATTTTCGGTTTCTGGATAGTGGCCATCTAAGGGGTTGAGGTATATCCAGTGGTTTTGATTTGCATTTCCCTAATGATTAACAATGTCGAACAACCTTCTCATATGCTTCTTGGCCATTTGTGTATATTCTTTGGAGAAATGTCTTCTCAAGTCCTTTGCCCATTTTTTAATTGATGTGTTTTGTTGAGTTGTAGCAGTTCTTATATAGTCTGGACATTAACCCCTTATCAGATACATGGTTTGCAATATTTCTCCCTGGTAAGTCATCTTTCACTTTATTTCACTGTTTCCCTTGCTACCCAGAAGTTTTAAGTCTTATGTAGTCTTATTTATTTTAGTTTTGCTTTTGTTGCCTGTGTTTTGCTATCACAATATCTAAGAAATTTTGACATTGCCAAATCCAATGTCATGAAGCTTTTCTTTTAGAAGTTCTAGTTTCAGGGCTTATGTTTAGATCTTTAGTCCATTTTGAGTTAATTTTGGGTATAATGTAAGGTACTGTAAGGTAAGGGTCCAGCTTCCTTCTTTTGCAGGTAGATATCAATTTTCCAACATCATTTGTTGAGGAATACCTTTTCCCCCATTGTGTAGCCTTGGCACGTCTTTGTCAAAGATCATTTGATCGTATACATGAGGGTTTAGTTCTACGTTCTCTTGTTCTAAAATGTCCTTTGTCTCATGACAATTTTTACTGAAAGTCTATTTTTCAGATATAAATATGGCCACCTCTGCTATCTTTTCATTACCATTTGCATGGAATATCTGTTTCTATCCTTTTACTTTCAGCCTTTCTATGTCCTTTTATGTAAAATGAATCTCTTTTAGACTGCATATACAGTCAAGTGCCACATCATGCCTTTTGGTCAATGAAGGACTGTATATTTGACGGTGGCCCATAAGATTCATAATACTGTATCTTTACTTTTGGTTTTTTCCCCCGGACAGGGTCTTGTCTGTCACCGGCTGAGTGCAGTGGCCTCATCGTAGTCACTGCAACCCCAAACTCCTGGGCCAAGAGATCTCTTGCTAGCCTCCCGGTAGCTGGGACTACAGCCCACATGCTGCCACACTGGCTACTTTCTCTGTTGTTTGGAGACACAGGGTCTATGCTCTTCTCAGGCTGGTCTCGAACTCTGACTCAAAAGCAATCTCATCTCAGCCTCCCAGAGATGCACCAGCCTACTGTACATTTCTGTGTTTAAAATAACAAATCTATTGTGTTACATTGCCTGTAGTATTCAATACAGTAACATGACAGATAGGCTTGTAGCCAGGGCAATAGGCTATAGCACATAGCCTAGCTATGCAGTAGTAGGATGTCCATCCTAGGTTAATGTAAGCACACCTTATGATAGTGACAAAAGACAAAATTGCTATGATGCATTTCTCAGAATATATCTTGTCATTAGCCAATCATACAAAGCAATTGTATTCTAAATTCCATTCAGCATCTCTATGCACTACATGGCACTTGAGGGAATATATTTATTATTTGATTATTTTTACCAAAAACATATAATATTTTATAATAGAAAGAATTACACACACACAACATCACAAACAAACATCTTAATAACAATATAAACAACAAACAAAAAAACGGCATGGACACACTAATAGCTCGAGGTCAACTACAGCTTAAACCACCACCAACACAACGAACACAATCAACATAACGCGGATCATAAACGCGGCATTCTATACAAAAAAACAAAACCCCACTCGTCCAGATACAACAAAGACATAGACATGTCAAAAAAACCACACCGCGCTACACACACACAACGCACCAAAACATTCAAACACAGAACACAACATACAACATCCAACTCAAATCTTCACTCTCAAATTTTTAGTTGCATTATATTAATTTCTTTATACATTTTTGTAATGACTATCATTACATG